TGGGTTAAGCTTGAGGTTATCAGCGCTGCACTGCTGTGGCTTGTGCCGCTTGTGCAAACGTGCATCTATCACACATGATTCAACTGCACACACTCACATTGGCATTCACATTCACATGCACATTCACACACTCATTCGGTGTGGGTGGGAGTAGTGTGGTCTCAGTGGACACTCACCGCACACAATAGACTCACAGCTCACAGCTACTCGCACATGTGTGGCGCTAATGATCTCTAGCTATCTCACTCACTTTGACACCTCTCTCTATCACTCTCGCTCTCTCTCTCTTGCTCTCTCTCTCTCTCTCTCTCTCTTTCTCTCTCTCTCTCTTTCGCACACAAAGCGTGCACAGCACAATTAACAATAACGCAAACCTTTGCAATAAAAACAATTCGCATTCACTTTTGGGCCAGCATCGCAGACACACACACACACACACACGCACACACACACACACACGCACACACACACACACACGCACACGCACACACACACTGACTCGCAAGTTCACACATGTTTGAGTATGTGCGCTGACATTAATGGGTGCAATGCTAAAGCAGCGCAGTCGGCAGCGACGCCAGCGTTGACAGCAGCTTTCTGAGTGTGTATTTGTGTGTGTGTTGCGTTGCGTTGGGTGGTTTGAGCAGGTCGCGTCCACTCGTGGTCGGTCTGCCGCGCAACTTGTGACTTGCAACCAGCAACTAGCAGCAACTTGCTGCAACATGCTGCATGCAACCACCCGAACAACCGCCCACCCACCGAAGCAAATGCCGACAACAATGCCGATGCCGATGCCGATGCCCGATGCCCGATGCCGATGCATATGCTGCAAAGATTAATGTGCATTAGCCGGTGTTGACCGCGCTGGGTGAGCATTAAGCCTAACTATGAACGAGCATTCTCAAGTGCAACAGCAGCAGCAGCAGCAGCAGCAGCAGGCGACTCCTTCCTCCAATTGCAATCGCAGACATGAGTGTACTCATATACACTCATTCGCACACACACAAACACACTCACAACTTCATTTAAATAGATTTAGCGCAAATAACCCGTTCGTGCTTATATTCGTGAATACACTCATGAATGGACTCACGAATAAACTCAATCTGATTTACATAAGTCTGTATATTCATTTATTTATGCATGCGTTCAGTATTACAAACTGTCAAATCATTTATTTTGAGTGTTCTAATGAATACTCTCAATTTATTCGTGAATACAATCCCTGAATAGACTTACGAGACCACTTAATCATATTTGCACATGTATGCACATATGTATTCATTTATTTATACAGACACTCATTAATGCAAGTTCAATCATTTATTAAGAATGTATTTATGAATACGCATACAAATCATATGAATACGCTCAGTGGAACATTCGCAAATGTATTCATTAATACAAATGTCAGCTAGATTGATAATTATTCCACATCGATTCTGTATCGATTAATGATAATTAAGCTAAAGCTATAAATACATAATAATATAAATTTATAATTCATTCTACAAATGTATGTGAGTGTGTGTGTGTGTATGTGAGTGAGTGTGAGTGAATGCTACTCAGTCCATTCGAAGCCGTTTGGCACTCAATAACAGCCGCAAGAGGCACCTGAACTTCAATCCATTCACTCATTGACTACGAATAACTGCGAATAACTGCGAATAACTACGAATAAATGCCTGGCTAACAAACAAAGTTGGGCAACAGCAGTTTCAGCTTCAGCTTCAGATTTAGCTTCAGCTTCAGCTGCAGCCTCAGCGCCGGCTGCTGCTCGAACGCCGACTGACTGGCATCGGCTGGCGTTGGGGCTTGCGACCAGGCAGGCGACTACTGCCGGCCGATAGCTTTGGCGCTGGCAGCGACGTCAGCGTTGCGAGTGGTTTGGTTGGTTGGCAGCAGCAGCAGCAACAGCAGCAGCAGCGCCTCTTGTTGAATGGAGGAAGATGGGCATAAACTAAGTTTAGTTTATTAGATGCACACGAGCAGCCGCGTTGTGAGGACGTGCCACACAAGTTCCTGCTTCAGTTCTGCCGGTTCGCGCGCGCCTAAAATACAACTAAAAACAAAAAACAGAAAACATCAAAAATAATTAAGTACAAAAATAAACGTAACTGGACAATATGTGTTTTTAGTGTCTCCTCGCTGCGTATTTGGCAAAATTTTTGGGTAATTTTTGCAATTGCAAGTTGCAAGCGATTCAATGCTTTTTGTTGCTGTTTGGTTTTTTTAGTTGTCACCTTGATTTGCGCGGCAAATGTCGCCTTAAGTTGCGCGCACATTGTGCTCATTGCTGTTGTTGTTATTGTTGTTTTTGTTGTTGTTGCTTCATTCAGCAGCAAACGCCGGTTGCGCGAGGGTTGGGCGAATAACGTACAATGGACAATGGACAGCGACAGCGACAGCAGCAGCAGCAGCAGCAGCAGCAGCGACAGCAGCAGCTGAGCCGAAGCTTCTTCTTCTTCTTGTTCTTGCTCTTCTTTTTCTCCTACTCCTTTGAAGCTCGCACGCTTCACACATGTGTGAAGTACCGTTATCAGCTGCGCGTCGCGTCGCTGCCAGCGTCGACGTCGCGACGTGTGCAGTCTTGCATGAAACAGTCGCCACATCGAACTTGGCTATTTTCATTTGAGCTTTGGGGCGCTCTCCCTCTCTCTCCCTCTCCCTCTTCCACTCTTTCTCGCTGCTGCTTGCGCTTGCTGTGTTGCGCGCTCGCTCGCACTAGCTACACATATGTGTATAACTCGCTCTCGCAGTCGTGTGTGTGTGTGTGTGTGTCCACCACCAAAAACCCACACATACACACACGGCCACACAAATGTGGGGGCCAAAGGAACAACGAATGCCTAAAAACCGAATGAACAAATGCAATAGCAACGCGCCAGAAAAAAAAAAACACCAACCCAAAATTCCACCGCTACTACCACCACCACCACCACCACCACCAACAACAACAACAACAGCAAGCATAATAACAATAACAACAACCCACCACCACCAACCAGTGCTAAAGGGCTGTAGCTTTGGCGTTGGCGTTGGCGTTGACGGCGACGCCGACGCCGACGCCGACGTTAGCGTTGGCGTCGCTTAGCCAAAATCAAATTTTCAGATTGGCATTAAAGTTCAAAACCCTAAAATAAAATTGAATTATCTGAACGTGTGCGTCCACAGTCGCTCGCAGGACATCGTCGCGTTCGGACATGCTCTCGTCGCTGCTCTGTCTCTGTCTCAGTCTCAGTCACTGGCTTTGGTTCGCATAAGCTTCGCCACTGCCACTGCCACTGCCTCAGTCGCAGTCACAGTCACCACTGCCTGCCTGCTTGCCTGTCTCTCATACAAACGTTCGTTCGCTCACTCACACACACACACACACATACACACATACGTTTGCTCTCTCACGCACTGTGTTCGTCCACTCGTCAAGCTTTCGTTCGTTTCGTTTAGCCGACGACGACGACAACGACGACGACGACGACGAAGAAGAAGTTCTCTTGCCCATTCACCACTCACTGGCCTCTCGTGCACTGCTGCTCTGCTAGTGGTGTTGTGTTGGTGTTGGTGTTGGAGTGTGTGTTGGTCTCGTCACGGCGCTTTGTGCTTTGTTGGACAACGACGACGACGACGACGGCGACGACAACAGAGCGACAGTCGCAGCCGCAGTCGCAGCCGCAGCAGAGCCAGCGAAGACGCGCTCGCCGCTCGACGCCTCGCAGTAGTCGCGTACTTCCGCCGTTACCGTTAGCACCATACATTTCTCTGACGAGGCTGCCATCGCCGTCGCGGTGCACGCAGCCAGCAGCAAGTAGCCAGCAGCAAGCAGCCAGCAGCAGTTAACGCAAAACTCAACTGCAACAATAACAGTTAGCCAGAGGACAACGACAAATAATGACGCGTTCTTCATAAACGAATTTAAAAACAATTGCAATTTTTTTTAATTCATTTGGTTGCACATCTCTCGACCTCCACTAGTAAATACTTCCTTAAGCGGCTCGTTTCTAAATACCCGGTCTAAGCACACACGCACACGCGGCACACTCACACAGAAAGTGCAATTTTTTTTCAAGTGTCTTGTGTTGAAGTCATTTCCAATTGGATTTCAAATTTGTTGCCAATTGGAATACGCCGCTAACGACATCAACAATAACAACAACAACAGCAACAAGAGCAACGTGAGACAAGAAACAGCAACAAGGCGTTGATAAAGTTGTTTAGCAAAACAAAAAAAAACAAAAAATAAAATCGAAAAACAAAAAACCGACAAATAATGTGGCCAAAAGGAACGCGCAAAAACAATTTTGTCAGCTGCCAAACTGCCAATAACAACAACAACATCAACAATAACTTAGAATAAGTAAATAAGAGTTACAGTGCTAACGGTTCCTATACGAAATCAATTCAAGAAGAGGAAGAAGCAGCACAAGCATATAAAGAAGAAGAGAAGAGGGAGAAGAAGCAGCAGGCAACAAAAGTGTTTTTTCCAAGTGCGAAATTTGTTTGTTTTTTTTGTTTGTTTGTTTGTTTGTTAGTTTGTTTTAAATAATATATCGATGAAAAATATATAATCAAATATAATAATGTTCGAAATCTCAATCTGAAAAGGTGGGCAAAATGACAACAACAACGAAAACGACAAGAAAATACATAAAACTGAAGCTGGCCAATGGCCGCCGTGTGGGACCCATGTGAAAAAGGCCACAACAACAAATGAGAAAGAAAGCAAAGGAAGAAAGAATAAGCAAAGATCACAAGAGAAGTGCTATTTTTTCCAATAAGAATAACTGCAAAAATAAATTAAAAAAAAAATAATAATAGCTACAAGTGCAATATTAATTAAGAAACAAATCAAAAATTGAAATAAAATTGAAAATCAGCAAAACATTTATCAAAAGTGTGCAACAACAACAAAACAACAACAACAGCAACAGCAACAGCAACAAAGAGCAACAGCTCAGAAAAAGGAAAAAGGAGCAGAAGCAGAAGAGGGAGAAGACGGAGCAGGAGGAGGAGGAGGAGTTGCCCGCCCAGCTGCCATTGCGTGGGCGAGCGCTCGAAAAGTTTTGAAACACCTTTGGAAATTGTAACAAAAATGAGAATTAAAATGCCCGCGGTTCGAATTGCACAAGGTGAGTACTCAAAATGAACACAAAATCAACCAAAATGCAAATGCAAAAAGCTCATTATATCAAATTGCAAAACTACACACAACTACAGATATATGCTTATGTGTCTGTGTGTGCGCGTGTGTGTGTGTGTGTGTGTGTGTGTGTGACACCTGTGGGTTGGAATTGGAATGCTGAACAAAATTTGCCACTTGCCACATCAATAGTTTCTACAGCAAACGAACAGTCAAGCTTCAAGATTACTTATATAAATACATACATATATACACACGTGTGTTAAATCTATACTTCATGCATGCTTATCTAAAATAGTGACAAATATATATGTAAGCTATATAGTGGATCTGTTAACGAATTCTGTGAAGAGTTATCTAAATAGTTAAATATTAAACTCACAAGTTTAGTCGAATGCGTGGCATAAAGTTTAATTGCGTGGCATAAACTTGAAATTATTTATTTAAGTTTGTTGTGCTTTACACAAAATACACAGTTATAATTTAAAACTTTGAGTAGTAATACTAAATACCTTGGCAACAAGAACTATTTTGATTGAACAACATTTTTAAAGCGAAGTAAATTGATGCAAATGCTGGTTGTCAACTTAAAGCTAAATATATTTATGTTCAATATGTACAATTTTCAATACAAGTTCTTAACTCAATCCTCAAAATGTTGTTATTATATACATATACATATGTATATGTCAATACATACATATCATTTTCCAGTTAGATCTTACAGCAAATTTCTGCATACATTTTTAGCTCCTTCCTTAAAATATTCTTATTGTAACAAAGTTGGATATATGTTTGATTATTTATCTATTTATATATATATATCTATTTTTTTTAGTCTTTGGCTTTATACATATGTACATTATATATTAATATATAACGGCTGGTTTCATTCTGAATGCTACTATTAGACTTAAAGATATTGAAAATGAATAATTTTATAACGAATGCGTCGAGTTGAAATGTGAACTGTAATTGAAAACTGGATTTATTGCAATTTTAGTCTCGAGTTGTTGATGGATATGTTAATTTGTTTATTCATATGTGCATACAAATGCACATAACTGTTTATGACGTTATTAATAAATATATATTAGCCAAATGAGATAAATATATATATATGTATAGATATATATATATACTATTTGTCGGAGCCCATATATCATGGCCAGCTCTCGGTTTTTTTTTTTTTTTTTTTTTTGTGTTTTTGTGGGTTTTGTATCTACTCCGGTTATCGCGACGATATCGCAATGCTCCGGAAATCAGAGTCCGCCCGTTTAGGTGTGTTTGCAATGATTTCTCCGATTTTTTTTTGTTCGCTTTTTTTTTTTGTTAGCGGTTGTAAAGTTAACGTCAGTCTTTATTGCTTAGTTGGTTTATTGCTTAATATTATTATTATTATTATTATTATTATTACTGTATTATACGTAGCTTTTGGACGGTGGGTCCGCGGGACCCAACAAACACATTTTGGCGAGTGTATCTGTATCTCTTTTTATTTTTGTTTTTTGCCTAAAATGTAGCTATATCTGTATCTGTTTTTGTGCTTGCGCCTGATCACGGCTAGTTCAAAGCGAAATCAAAGCCGTATAACCATAAACTTCACAAACACGCAGCCACACACTCTCTGATTTGCACACACACACACAAACACGTGTATATATATATATATAGATATATATCCCTATGCATTTGGGCATTTCCGTATCAGCGCTCATAAAATGTGACTTGCTGTTAGTTTTGGGCAGAGATTCGTTTTATGCCCGATACCCATTTAACTTGGCTAAAACGGGGTATAATCGAGCTGTATATCGAAGCGTGTAAATGACAACTCCGATCTAAATCCGACACAGGTATTGTCTATACTAGTCTATACTAAAGCATAGCTCATTTCAATATTATATAATTTTGTTAATCGCTCAATAATGTCTATGTATATCTAGCTATGTTAAGCAACTCTGTTAATCGATGAGCAACCCTGCTGATCGAGAAATTTGTTTACTTAACATTTATTACCACAATCAACAATATGTTGAAATGACTACAGGATATCTCATAGTCGTGATCTCTTTCTGAGTCTCTCCCGCTCTTGACTAAATCACTCTTGTTTAGTTGCTGCCCCCGCAGCCTGCTGCACCCTGTTTAAGCATTGTTATCTGCTCTGTTATCTAGATAACGTTGCCGTCCAGCCCTGAACTGAACTGCCCAATGACGCACTTGCCACGTTCCCTCTGCTGGCCATTTATCAGCAAACAGAGCACAGAGCAATGTAGAGCTGCTGCTGCTGCTGCTGCACCTGCCCCATCCCCACCTGAGAGACGACCCTACCACCCAGCACCCCGCTCCCCCCCTAAACCTCTCCCAATCCTGTGCAATGTCGTCGAAACAGTTTTAATTGCTCGCAAAGTTGTTTGCCTTGTTATTGTTGTCGTTGTTACGATATTTTTCGGTTTATTTGTGTTACAAATCAAAAGAAACAAGCTCGATGAATGGGGGGTATGGGGTTTGTGGGGGGTTCTCTAGTGTTTCTGGTGGCAAATCGGGCAGTATTCTCCGTACAACTGATAACAACTAGAACTGGAGCTCTGGCGACTAATTGCTGTGGACCCGCTTGGAGTTTTGGATACAGGCCCCCACCCGCCAAAAACAAAAAAGAACTCGCCTCGTTTATCGATAGCTGTTGTGCCCAAAATTGCTGTTGTTGTGCCCCTTTCCCCCTTTCGCCCGCCCCCTCCACTTGTGCACCACAGAAGAACCTCATCAACATCAGGTGTGCCTTCATATCATAATTAATTGTTACAATTTCATTATTTTTGTCTCCATTTTTGCTGTTATTGCTGTTGTTGTTGTTATTGGTGTTGGGTCTTGCGGCAATTGTTGCTGTTGTTGGGAATCTTTTTTTTTTGATCTGTGAATTTACAAGATTTCGTCATGCCGCATGCCGCATCGCAGCTAATGAGTAATTTTCGACTACAAGTCGCACTGCCAACTGCAATCAAGTGGATGATATATAATGAAGACGGTGGGGGCGGCGAGGTAAGGGGTAGCTGACCAAAAATATTAAGAAAAAATGAAGAAGAAGATAGCGAATTCCATTCAATTCAATTTTGAATACATGCCAATCGTATTGAACAAGTTGAATCAACTCGTATTTGCCATCGCTTATGAAATATGATGAAATTGTAACGAGATATGTTTAAGTTTGTTAGATGCTTAATAACGTAGCTCTATATTTCTAGGTGAATAATATTAATTTATGCTACTTGATGTTAATATTCATTCATATATATATTATTCATCCATATATTATAATTTATTGTGTAAAAAGTCCTAGTTTTTATTAATAGCCAACAGTTGAAATATGACCCAACAAAGTAGACTTCATTTAAATCAATCTATCAATAATCAAATATTTGATCAGTTAAATACAACATTGGTTAACACACTTCAGTATTTTGAATATTTAAGATATTCAAATCGTAGTCATAAAGAAGTCAAATTCATTTTAAAGAACAAACAAACCGAGTTGCTTTCTTTTTTTTAGTTTAGTTCAGTTTAGTTTAGTTTAGTTTGCATGTCTTTGCCTTGAAGCGTGCCAAATTCACCTGCTCGTTAAGCACACCCCTCCTCCTCCTCCTCACCTCACTCCTCACTCATATGCACTTCGATACCCTGGCAGGCAGAGGGTAATATAATTTTATCGTGAATCAGTTTATCTGACTGTTTCTCTGCGAACTAGTCAAATACATAACATGTATTATATTTTATACATAGGAACAATTAAATGGGTTGGATGAGGTATTGTAGGGAAAGATATCCCAAGCAAACTGGACAAGAGATTTACTAATTGTGTTGTGGAAAAACAATATATTTCGGATTTTTTACTATAATCTTTAGCGATTTAAAAAAAAAAAAATTTTAATACAATTTAGATGAGAGCAGGTAAATTGCAAGGTCGGCAAGGGTATTGCATCTGCGGCGTGTTGTTATTTGTTTTGTTGTTGTTTTTGTGTTTGCCAGTGCCTCAAGCCGCGAGTCCATGTGACCGTCGTTCCGCTTGACTTCGAGTCGCACTCACAAACACTCACAACACTCACAAACACTCACAACACTCAAACGGTCAAACGCTAATCGAGCGGCAAATGCAGCTGGCCTCGAATCAGTTGAATCGATAGTTTTCACTCGCTCGCTCGGACAGCCGGAGTGGGCACATGCCCCTGCCACTGCCACTGTCCCCGCTCCTGCTCCTGCTCCTTTCGCTCGTTTGTTTCGATATGTTGTTTTTTTTTTTTTTGTGTTTTTGTGCTTTTAATTTGATTATCGACCAAACAGTGTCCATTAAATGAGCGACCGACCGCGGTCGCGTCCGTCTGCCATTGTTATCCAGCTCCTGTTCGAAAGCGTGCCATGGCAACGTCTCTGTCAGAGTCGAGTACCCCTCCCTCACCCTCACCCCCCCCACACTTTTACCCACATTTGTTATAAGAAATAACAGCAGCACAGCACACAGCACACAACTCAATTGCAACCCCAATCCAATCCCCAATTCCATTCGCTTGTGTCGTGTCATGTGGATGGATGTCAAACTTTTGTCCAGCTGCGGCTTAAACGGCACCAAAGGGGTGAGGATGTGCGGGGGGAAGGGGAGGATGGGGGCTGTGCTGCTGCTGCTGCCGCTGGATCTGATGTATTTCAATTGCGACAGGAGCCTGCAGGACATCTCTGAAGGCAGCCCCCAACCCCAAAAATGCCACCAAATAAATGGCAACTTTGGCTAGCAAATATCTCGCTGCGGGTAAGCGGGTCTCCCACTCTCTCTCCCACTCTCTCTCTCGCTCTCTCTCTCCCTTGCTCTCTCTCACTCTCTTTTGCTTTCTCTCTCTCTCTTTCTGTGTCTCTGTGCTGATATACTCGTCATGCGGCACACGGCTGGAGTCAAAGCCGTTGTCGTCTGTGCCACCGACTGCTGCCACTGGCAGCATAATCAGC